TTCTGTAAGAGTTAATGAACTCACAGAGCTGGGTACACCTCTGAAAGGATCTAGTGGACTCAGACATGGCGCCTAACGAATATACGCTGTTTTTCAGCCTTCCTAAAGCGCATAAACACAGCTACTCTCTCAATGAAACCCATGTTAGCCATTTAGCAATGAAGCTAGAGTCACTGGGCAGACAAAAGCCCCGCCCATCATGTGAATCTGCATCGATTGTGAAGTGAATCTCACGCGCGAATGAAGCAAGTAACTCAAAATGTTCACGCGTCTATTTATTTGTGTGTGCTGCGTCTTTCATGAACACAGCATTAGAATTATGTGAATATATCTTTGAGCTTTATTCTTATTCAAATCTTCATTCTTTCTCCAGGTGTGTATACTCTGACAGCAAGGCAAATAAGGTTTTAAACATGTGACTTAGTCTCTGTATGTGTGAAGAGGATTAACATATATTTTTCAGATGTTTGGATCAGCCAAGTGTAATTGAAAGGCGTAATCTGGTCCTTTTTTCTCTATTCTGAGGAAAAGCTACAATTACCGCTGTACTCGTCGTCCTGTGTTCATTATAGGCTTATTCCGGCAATACTTCTTTTAGCTTGCATGCATGTACATGCTGTAAGAGGTTTCCTTCCGATGAACTCATTATTCAACAGTGCTCACCCCACTCACTGACACACTCCACATCTACCCCTGACTGCCACATCCGAGCAAATTCATGCAATCATGCACACTATCCTTTAGACTGGAGATAATGCAAGCATGGTGAAGTGCAGCTAAATCTTAACCGTGAGTGGAACCTAGCAGTTAGTCAATGCGCTGAGGGGAAAATTGACCCGTTCCATTTTAGTGGAGAGGTTCAGTATGTGCATGTTTTATTTTCTGTTTTCCCCCCCAATGTGTTAAAGCACATTTGTTGCAAATTGCAACTGAACCTCCAAACATCAAAAATCTTTTTTGAAGGATTTTAAATATGGCCACTGAATCCAGAAGCACATGCAAGGAAAAGCCAGAGAGTTATTCATACTAATACACTGCATTATTTCATTTTACTGACCCCTAAACAGGATTGGAGTGTCACAAAGCATTAAGACAACTTCCTTGAACTAACTTTTTAAAATCTATATACCATGCTGACAGGTCTGTGCAGAATAATTCTATATTATTTCTAGGCTAGGAGGGAAAATTAAGAGATGAAACCTGTCATTGTGATGATTCTCCTCTGAAAAAGGACAAGATGGTTGGCGTTGGGGTATCTGCTCAGGGGGGTGGGACTTTCGGGGGGGTAGAAGATCAAAGCGACTAAAGCTGATTTATCCTGTGTTAGGGCTCAAATGCCTCTGAGAGGCATTGAACAGCCCTTCAAAAAGCAATAGCAGCCACCTTTATATCCAGCCTGTGCCAGTCATCAGGCTTGCCTGTGAAGCAAAATCAATCTGTTTCATATCGGAGATACCAAGGGAGAAGGAGAGAGAGTGTATGTGAGTGTACAATCTGTCCCCAAAGCTCTTTTTAATGACACATGCTGCATAACAGAGCAAGGATAGAAAAGTGTTCAATAAGGCAAACATGCTGTTATCTGGAGATGAGGACTAATATAAAAAGGCTCGGATGGTACAGAGGGAGTTGTCAATCAAACATACTTTAATTTGTATTTTCAAATTCTCTGCCTTTTCTGCTCAGCACGGACACACTTACTTGGGCAGAAGTCCTTTAAATTCCAGCTAACAAAACAGCCTTGATACCAGAATTACTCAAACAACAAGACAAAGAATATTTTTACTGGCAATGCTTACAATTCTTAAGGCATCATCTAAAAAGAAAAAAGGTACATTTCACCAGGTAGCAAACTGCTTTTTTAAGTGATAAGCCATCACAAAATGAATTTACCTAGGAAATGGGTGATCCAACCAAGAGAATCTTTCTAATCCATGACCACATGCAGATTGAAATGATTAAAAAGCATCTAGAAGAACTATTTAATCACATTAGCTGGATAGACTTAATAACCACTGACAGAAAGCCCTTGTGGAGAAGGTTCCTTGAGGTTTAGAAGGTCTCTTCCTTTGTTTTTCTTTGAACAGGTGTGGTGACCTTTCAACCACTTAATGAGATTACAAGAGTAATTAGAACTGGAGCCACTATGGCTCCCAACAGTCAACCCCCCTTGAACTCTAGAGAATATCCAGTGTCCATTTGGGTGCCACCTCAGAATTAGAGAGAGTAACATAATTAAGTCCTAATGCATGGATCCTGCTACCTAGGGATTGGAGGACGTGTCCATGAAGAAAATGCAGCATTAGCACACACAGTCAGAAAGCAGTGCCTAAAGCAATAGCAAGCCTGTCAACGCTGGACACTTTAGGATTGGCCTAAGGTTGGGGAAAGAAATCCCCGGCAACCATTAAAGTCACAATGGTGTTGGATTGCTCCTGGGGTGCTACTCTGAGCTGTTCATTTAGGATGATGTGCAACTATTGGGCCTGACCTAAGCACACTCTCCATCTCCAACATGGCCACCGAGAGGGAGGCAATAAGGGACCCATGGAAACCCAATGGGCGCCGAGGGAGCGCTAAGGCTGGCCACTCACAGGGAAGCCCAAAGACAGCAAAGTGTCAGAGTCAATGCGAACACACACCTCTACAATGGCAAAATCAATGAGACTTTATGAGACATCAATCTCCTCTACAAAGGTCTGCTTTTCTACTGCTGGGATGGACCATTTGGATGTGGGACTTTGGCAGTCGCCATTTTCAAAAAATGCCATGGAAGGCTTTTTGGGATTTTGTTGACCCATCCGTGGTTGTTTAAAGATTATTTTGTCTGTTCAGTGGTAAAATTGGAAATTTTTATTTAAAAAGATCTTTAGGGTGGCAACAGAATATACCCTTAGTTCTCCATTTATAACTGCAACAGTCTATTCACAAACTATTTATATACACCTATCAAGTACGTATTCTGAAAGATTTGTTTAGACATCTTTAATTAGTGTTTGAAGTAAAATCTGGGGACAGTGATTTGGCATAAGCAGATTTCTAAAGATTAAACCAACTTTACACCTAATTAAATCTGCATTTGAACCTTTACAAGTGCAAGAAACTCAGTATGGGAGGCTGTGTGGGTAATTTCAATAGACAAATTTAAACTTTTTACAGTAAACAGCAGATCACATGTTAAGACTAAGGCCCCGTTTACACTAGTGCGTTTTAGTTTTAAAACGGCGTTTTAGAATGAAAACGATCTGCATCCACACTCACGTTTTGCCCAGCGTTTCTGAACTGCTCTCCGTCCACACCAAAACGCTGAAAACGCACATCACGTGACCACACACACACTCTTTGGCAAGCGCTGCAGCCCATCTACCCAGATGAGAGCTCTGCTTGTCGGACTTCTCATCAAGCATCTCCCGCTGGATCTAATCTCACTATATTTATTAAACGGGATATTTCATTCATCTTGTTGTCTTTATCTAACGACATGCCCCCTTACTTTGGTCATTGGAATCTATTACTTGTCAGGTAGTGTGTTTTGGCTGAGCGCAAAAATAATTTAATGATTAATGTAAGAAAGTACATTCTGTATATTAACTGATCGCCTTTATTTCCTATAATTTATAAACTTATTGTATGTTATACTTTTATAATGGCCATTATCGATTATTAAAACTGATATTCAGCAAATCAGAGGGTATTTCGTATTTTCACTGAAATTGAAAGGAGACAGTTGTTATCGGCTCCGTTTTGTTATAAACATCCACACAGTGAAGATGACGCTCATATATGCAGCACGGCGCCTCAACATTTCTGCTGTCTGTTTAGTTGTTAATATTAAAATGAAAATAGGCAGTTCCTTATATCATGTTTACATTTTATTGTTGAGAAAGTGAAACAACGTAGCCAGGACGATGTGAATGAAGTTATAAAGTACACTGTTCCCTTTGAAGATTTACCCGTGTCCTTGGTATAGTCTATTTTCCATATCAAACTGAAAAGAAGAGACTGCAGCCTTGATCAAACTTGTGAAGTCTGAACTTACACGGAGAAGATGCAGGACTGAACTGTGTGTGTTAGGCTACTTAATATTGAGGAAAAGCCCCAATCAAAGAGGCGAATGTCTGCAGCCCCGCCTCCGTTTTCAGATGTCTCCGTTTTCCATCATCCACACTGAGACGGAGCAGCAGCGTTTTAGAATGAAAACGGCCTCTCCAGCGTTTTCGAAACGCTACGTTTTTGGCGCTCGAGAACTCCGGCATAGTGTGGACGGATGGCGTAACCGTAGCAAAACTTATGCGTTTTCAAACTAAAACGCATTAGTGTAAACGGGGCCTAAGAGTTAAGGATCTTGGCAATTGTCCTGCAGTATAATTGATTGTTGTGCATCCTCAGCCAGCCTTGCTCTACAACACCCCCTAACCATCTCCCCCCTTCCCCAACATTCACCCCTATGGCATTTACACCTTTTGTTTATAATATTCCCCTTGATTTGACCAGACATCAAGTTGGGGGTTTGGGGCTCAGGGCTCCCGTTCCAATATCTAAGCTAATTACTTTTTAATTTACACTGTGTCATTAATGGGTTTGGCAGGGGAAGCAAGGTTAGACAGGCAGCAGAAGCCGCTTCCCTTCCGTTCACTAGCACAACGGCCTCCTTAATTAAAATGAATAATCTGAGCATCCATCAGATAGACGAAGAGAGCCAGAGAAAGAGAATTCTGAAGATATGAAGGGACAGGAGTAAAAGCCCTGCTGAAAAGACCAGCACTACTAATGTACATGCAGGGTTATGTGGTTTAGCTGGTGGATCTGTTCTCAACCAACATTAACATTCTGAAGCTAATTGAGCGGAAAAAAATCTAGAAGCCTGGTAGGGACATCAGAACATGCTGAGTACCAGCATCTGCAGCACAAATTGTTGTAGCACATTGTGCTGGTCTTTTCAGCACTAAGAAAGGCAAATAAAGTAGTGAAGTTCATGAAAAGAAAAAGAACAAGACAAATACCTCCACGGCTCTCGCTGTCAGCTGGCTTCACCTGGATGGGTCGAGTCATCTGAAAGAAGAAAAACAGTACAGACAAGACAAGGGGTTAGTTCAGGCACAGTCGACCGCTGTCACCACAATACTAAGCCTACGGCCTGAAACTGTTGAGCCTTTGTCCAACACAAAACAATCCTGTTTGAGTTGTGATCAGATGCAAAGATCAACAGGGTACTCGGTGTCCCTTAAACTCAATATACAGTGCTGATTTGTACCAGCATCCCTGCGGCTGACTTGCACCCTGATTCTGTTTTTGGCACACTGCACAGCTACTCCAACCACTTTATTTTCTCCGTAGGAAATCGAAGTACTTACAAATATCATGTGTGTGCATTGATTACATATGCATTTAAATAACTTTTTTCACTGGGTTCCATTTGGAAGGCTCATCCCTGTGCCCTAATCCATTCGCAGGGTCCCTTTGAAGGGATTAGTTCATAGGGATGAGCTCTTCCAAATTGAATGCAGTGTGTGACACCAAACAACTTCCCTGCTCAAAGGATCATGGCCTGAAGTGTCCATCAGTTGCATACTTCAAAATCCAAAAAGGGCCCTTCGAAGTGGCCAGATTTGAGCACTTCAGTTTGGAGCAATGGTCTGGTTTTTGTGAGAACCTTGGGACAAGATCCAATAGCCAAACCTCACTCTTAAATCATGATACATAATTTCTCAAGCTGCTGTACATACGAGTATAGGGGAATTTGATACCGGAATTCGATACAAATTGGTACTGAAAATTTAAAAACGTCCATTTCCTGCGAACATTTGAGTGATGTGGAGCACATTCTTAAAGGGCCATGAAACCCCCTCGTTTCAGCAGGGTGTTTTCACACCTCTTCTTTGGAAAAAGTCAGAAAAGTGGGGGTGTCCAGCTCTGTTTAGGGGGGAGTGTCGGAGGAACTAAAGTGGGAGGGTGTGGGAGTGTCTATTTGGGCACGCGCGAGTTTCAGTCAAAATACACAGGAGAAAGGGATGGTGTTTAACCTACATGGACATCTGTAGTCGAATTATTTGCCAAATTATTAAATGTTGGACTTTAACTGCAGTTTGGCTCTTTCATTCAGGGAATTCATTCATGCCCCTCGCGACAAATGAGATATTTGATTCGAAGATCTGCTCTATGCGTGTATTTTTCATGCAATGTTTGATACCGCACGGCGAATGACAGAAAAAAACTCAGCATTTCCCGGAAACTTAGATGCACACGGCAGGTAGCGTCCGAAAGCCGCGTGTGTTATTCCGGTCACAAAATGCGGTGCTAACATGTTTGCACTCAATGCAATAGTTAACTTATTTGATACGAACAAACTGAATATACAAAGAGCACTGGTCGCTCACTTACCAAATCTGTAGAGACAGGACAATCACCAGCAACTAGAGCCGCGTCTTTATGAAGAGAAGACTACATCCGGAATCCGGATTTCAGCGTTTGCAGATGAAAACAGCTCTCAGGTAAACAATAATCCTCCTTAGACACGTAAATTATTGTTGTCGAGCGTCGCGTACACTGTTAATCCACACGTGATCCAGATAAGCTCTCACAGAGAGAAAATGAAAACGAAACTTAATGGCAGCAAACTGTAAAAGCAACACTTCACGCTTGTTTTGCCAACACAACGTGGCGTCTCTGTGGCGTAAACACGGTGACACTAATGAATATTAATGAAGTTGCACAATAGAGCGCGCTGATTGGTTTGAACCAACCCTTACTCATGCATTAATGTATCACACTGTAAGACGTAATAAGGCACACTCTGGCACAGACGCCCAGTCTGCACGCTGGAATACACGCTATTATGTCATGACCGTGACGCAGCTTCAAAAATTCGTTTCAAACAGGAAGTACGAATTTGCTTGAAATAACGCAAAAACAACCAATTTACACTTTTTAGTGAAATATAGGTGTCCTTATAGTGTTTTTAGCAGTGTGGGACACATATATGACTGTCAACAGCTCAAAAAATGTGTTTTGGTGTTTCGTGACCCTTTAAACACAGCTGATCTGCCATTGTGTTCACATGCTCACAACAGAAATGACTGTAATTGGCCTTGAAGGTCATCAGTTCACCAAAGTCACCACTTTTTACTAAGCGTGCTCTAATATTAGCGAAATGAAGGTTTTAATTTTATTTAAGTATTAATTTGAATATCGATTGGTACTGAATTCCAGTATCGAGACAACCCTACTGCACATACCATCTTTCATCTATTACAACATTTGATTAGAAGTATCCTTCTACGACATTCCAAATCAGGAATGATAAGCTACAACTGTAATATAATAAAATTAGTGCCTTTAGCTCAAAGTCCATTTTCTTCATTAAAAAGTCTCATCAGCAAGTTATTTTTGTGTTTGCTCAACAGTCTGCGCTTGGTTAAAGTGTGTAGTAATGGTGGCAAGGAGGAAGTGAAATGCAACAACAATTAAAGTGGAGGCAGCCACGAGAGAGAGAGAGAGAGAGAGAGAGAGAGAGATCAATGAAGCCCTATTGATCTCTGCCCCTTAGGCTGCGGAGAGTGTCTGGCAAGGAGGGATTCTGTGGGTAGAAGGCTCACAGTAATCTACTAAAGCCTGATAAGAATGGCATTTGTTGGATTAGATGCCTCTGTCATCACAGTTTTTGTGCTCTGTATTTTGCTCTACAATTTTTTTTTCCCATTATCCCTGTAAAGGTTGAAGTTTTCTTGATTGGTTCCTTATTCTACAAACTTGAGCAACAAAAAAAAAAAAGAGAGAGAGAGAAAAAATAAATATTTTTTTTTTCTTCTTTTGCTCATCTTTCAAGGATTCAAAAGGATTTTACTGCAGGATCAAAGGATGTTCAAAGGATTTTTCTATGCTCCCATTTATTCCTACCTGGGGATGTAATGCAGAATGGAATACTGTAAGTGTTGACCGTTTGGTTATTAGAGAAGTACACATAAATGCATTTAAACATTAAATAGCATTTAAAATTAATAATTATTAACAAACAATTGTGACTCAAATTAAAAACAATTTATTCCTTTATTAATTTGGAAAGTGGTGTATTTAGCAGGATAATTAACAGTCAATTCTCAGTTTTCATTAGAGCATCCCATCAAAATTATTAAAGAGACATCTCTTTTAGGATTTAGTGTGTGGGAATGCTTAAAAGTCTACTACTCCAGACATAATCAGCAATAAAATTAATTCTGATTAATATAGTAATAACATTACATTCGATAGTACTTTCTTTAATTGTTAAAAAGACAAGACAGGTTCTGTCCTGAAGGCCTACTTTACACTATAACATCCATTCCCCAGCACTGTAATCCAATGGGAGCTTTCTATCGATCCAAAACAAACTGCTAATAGCAACACAGCAGGCCCAGTTTGGATGAAAAAGGGCCAAGAGCTGTGCAGAGATTTGCGACAAGATTACCCAAATTTGCAAAGCGCCCTTTGCCGGCTCCCCAGCCATCTGTAACCTGAAATGAAGCCTTTCCAAATGCCGCAACTTTCTTCCCAAGCAGCCGCAGACAGGATCAACACTTTGTCTTTCTCCTCAACATATTTTCTTTTACTGTCCAATTGTGAAAGGAGGGGGAGCAAACCGAAAAAGGTCAATTTTAAAGACAGGCCAGTCCCATAAAAGCATGACTTGTTCAAGGAGAAACACCATAATGGGATTTTAAAAACGCCTTAATAACATGCTGATATATGAGGAACAGGACCAGGCCAGATTCATTAAGTGTTAAACGTATCCATTTTCACCTTGAGGAGCCGAATAACCTTCCTCGGGAGAAATTATTCCATAAATTTATCCATCGTAAATAATAACTAGCAGGGTCTAAGTCTTTGTGCGGAGGGGGAAAAGGCAAAAGATGTCATTCTTCTAAAGGTCAGAGTTCGGTAGCTTTGTTTTAAGACCAACTTCTGTGTCGATTGCACATGGATTGCAGTCGCATACACGTTACAAGGCTGATGAGATCCCTGACTGGCACCTCTCAAAAAATTTAACTACATGTCGTGACAACACATCGCACAATATCTTTGATTGGTCGACTTGGTAGCAGAGAGTCATGGGAGTGGAGTGTTCCAAGTGCCATAAAGCAGTGTTTCCCAACCCTGTTCCAGGAGGCACACCAACAATTAAAAATTCCTTTTAGAATCTATTATATTTGAATTTCGTAAGTGTTCTTTTGTTCAGGCTTAAATGGCGTGAATTATCTTGAAAGATAATTCTTTCGTTTCATAGTTTTAGTAAGAATCGAGGAACAAATTTTTCGAATTATTCGATAGAATTTCAAATCATGTTCAGAGCTCCATAGTTTAAAATAGGCTAACAGTCTGTTGAACTATAGTATAAGACAGCACACACAGCTGCCTAAACAAATAGCATATAAAATACACTTGATCACTTAGGCACTTAAAATATTCTTTAAAAATCTACTGAAAGTAAAAAGCACAAGAAAGAATATTGCTTTGAAACAGTTATTTAATAATTTTTAGTTATAAAGAAAAATAGCGTTAGCCAACTCAAGAAATTTTATGTTGGCCCGGGATCTGAGTAGTATTGGTTTGCCAGCAAGCGTGAGCAGAATGTTAATGGAGTGATTGCTTTGGGTGGTTAACAACTGAGTGGTTAGCGTCACACCGCTCAGCTCCGCTCACATACTCTTGCAGCTACAGTATATCCATTTAGTATTTTCACTGTGTTACAGTACTGCCCCCTGTTGGTCATATCTTTCTTGTCTTAGACCATTTTGTGCTGTGCCGCGCAGTACTGCAGCACTGCATGTGGTCACGTTTATTTACTCGTGCTTTCTCAGTAGCCACATCTGCATTTTCAATGTCTCCCTCATCTGATCCATTCTTTTTAGGTTTTGGAGACTCTTCCAACATTTCGATGAGTTGATTCAGGTGTGTTTGATTAGGAAGGAGTTGAAAACGTGTCCTTTTGTTGTTCCGTCTGGAACAGGGTTGGGAAAAACTGCCGTAGAGGAGCTCGAGATAAATACTTTTATTTTGTGTTTACTTTATGGTTAAAC